TTAGAAATCCCTATCAGTGGCCACTTGTTTGAGACAGTAATTCAACGCAGGAGACGCTGACGATTTCGCAGCATTCCCTCGGATCAAGACCGGTGGAGCAAAAAACCGACACAGATCGGCCCCTGGTGGAAAGGACAGATTCGCAATTAACCCAATCTAACCATGGCGTTTGTGATACACTCAGTATTGTCAAAGGTAAGGGTAGGGGCCTCATCATCTTGCTCCACGGCGTTCCCGGTGTTGGTAAAACTTCGACTGCCGAAACTATCGCCGAAGCAACCGGGAGACCGCTTCTGCCCGTGACGTGCGGCGACATTGGAGAAAATGCCACCGATGTCGAGAAGAACCTGGAGCAGATCTTCACAAACTCGCATCGATGGGGCTGCGTGCTCCTACTTGATGAGGCAGAGGTGTTCCTCATCAAGAGGAACCTCCAAGATCTGACACGCAATGCGATGGTTTCTGTCTTCTTGCGTGCTCTTGAGTTTTACTCGGGTATCCTGTTCCTGACGACGAATCGTGTTGGGACAATTGACGAAGCTTTCAAGAGCCGTATCCACATAAGCCTATACTGTAAGTTAACTCTCCCCGTCAACATGTGAGCCCTTGCTTACTATCGTATTGAGATCCCCCACATGATTGGAAGACGTCGAAACAGATCTGGCAGATCAACCTCGGACGCTCTATGGAAAAAGTGGAGGCAGACAAAGACGAGATACTTAGATATGCCAAGAAGCAGTTCCATCGTGCAGACGAGAACAGCCGATGGAACGGCAGACAGATATACAATGCGTTCAAGACAGCCATAGCGCTGGCCGAATACGAATGGTCGACCAGAGACGGTAAGACAAGCCAGAAAGCCGTCCTTACGGAGTCCCACTTCCGGCAAGTTGCCCAGGTAGCCAAGAAGTTCGACGAATACCTCCTTGAGACTCATGGAGGCATGAGCATAGCAGCCACCAACCAGCAGCAGAATATCAGAGCGGATGGTTTCGGAGTCAGCGATGACGGTCCGCAGAAGCTCAAGAGACGCCCAACGAAGGCGCGGAAGATCGATTTTGACGAAATACCATCTACGTCTGAGGGGGATTCTGATGGTGGTAGCGACGTCTCTAATACTACTGAGGACGAATATTCTTCAGAGGAGGTGAAGAAGCCGAAGAGAAAGGGAAAAGTCTCGAACAAGAAGAATGACGAAAAGAAGAAATCGCAGAACTCAAAGTCGAAGAATAGCTCCAGGAGACAGGTCGAAGACGAGTCAGAAGAATCATCGTAATTAGGTATAGAACCGCGCTCCCCTCCAAGAAAATCTCACCTCGTGCGATCTGTAGCTTTTCACATGACACCATGTAACAGCCAACCTAGTAGCCATCTGTTATGCACCTGGGCATCATTCTCCAAATAGGTCCTAATGTTAATACGATTAACGATTATGCAAAGACTCCCCTCACTCTAGCTGTACAGTACGGCATGGCTATCCAGCGTGGAGCGGATGTACATAAGACGATGGAATACTCTCCCTTCGAGTTGGATATACGATACGCTTGTTACGATGAAGGCAGTCACTTAGGATAGGCAACCTGCTTCTGAATCTGGGAGTCGATACTAATGATAGAAATGAGAGAGCTTGTCAGCACCAATTGACTGATTCCCGTGAAACGAGTGGCTTAAACGCCAAATGGCAGACTATGTCAACGCATAAGAATCTATATCGCGCGTCAATACCTCAAGCCACCGGTAGCCAATTCCAATTCACAGCTGCTGCACGAGCAGAGAGAAGGAAACAATAACATGAGAAAGCAATGCTACCTACTGGATTATGCGTACGATCTACTCCTGACGAATGTACTTCTATATAATGATAAGGTGCCTGAGTGTCTTGTAGTGGTTGATGTGTTTTCTTAGAACCACCCCTCCTTTTCTGCTCAAGTCATCAAGTCGAACCGCCTCTAGGTCGGCCACCCAGATTATTGTTGGACCTGAATCCGAGTGTATACTATAATCTTAGTCTAACCTTGTCCAAACCTCAACCCGAGCACCGCGGGTTGTTGTAGATCTAATCATACACACTGAGAATGCCCCAGATATGGATCGCAGCACTGAGTACAACGAAAAGGTGAAAGATCTGGTGTGATGCTCCCCAGATATCGAACTTCTCGGGCGCCCAGGACTCGGGGAAATGGGTCTATATTGGCTGCGGTTAGCTCGGTCCGACATAACCTTCCTTTCTCGGCTGTGCCCATGCATGCACTCGCTAACTCACCGCATAGAAGACCGTGCCGATAATGAGTGCCAGGCCTTCGACCAGGTAGTAGCCCAAGCCAGCCTGCTGGTTCAGCTGGGCATATGGATAAATGGAGGCGGCATGAATGATGGGTAACAGTCCCGAGAGGCCCGTCGCAACAAATGTCGAGATCCGAAGCGCCCTCCATCGACTGTCCTGAAAGCGAGGGTTCACAACGATAATGGTTGACATGAGCCCTAATACGCCAATCTACGATGGGACCCCTCTTCCGTTAATCAAGGTGTCCATAGCAGCCTCGCAAGAAACGGAAGGAAAAAAAGTTTACCATAGTCCAATAGAGCTTCTGTAGGCCAGGATTGTAGTAGAATGTGACGTAGATTCCCGAAATGAACGACCCAATGGTCTGGAGAATGATGGCCGCATAATCCAACCGTGTCCAGAGACCCGAATAAGCCTCCGAATGGCAGTTGAGGGTGTGATAGATGGATGAGATGCCGAAACAAAGGACTGAGGTAGTCAAGTAGACGTGTATTGCCAGCCGGTCCCCCAGGGGTGCAGTTGGGTAGCGGTTCTGGAAGTACAGGTGGAGGAAGCAATTGCTAGCAAGGGCGATTGCGGCTGGTATCAGATGAGAGTAGATGTTGACGGTCTCGTTATGAACAATTCGCAAACTGTCGACGCACAGCCTGACGGACCCGCTGATGGGACGATAGCTAGTGCGGAGGAAGGAGTTGTGGGAATACCATGATGGTACCTCGCTTGCTACCAGCAGCTGGTATTTGGATTTGGTCTTCGGTTGCTGGATGGCTGGGCGCTTAGGGGGGCTACCACGCTCCTCCCTCTTGCTACGGGCAGGTGATAGGCGTTGATATAGCGCCATGAGCTAGAGAAGTTGAATATGAATACTTGGTGCTGTTTTGAAGGGGAGCAAGAAGGGGGGAGGGGATAGATGAAGAAAGGAAGAAGTAAACAAAGACGGAGGCTGAGAAAACATACCCTTTATTCCTTCAGTTACTTATTGTGTAGCTCTACCGCCTTCTCTGACGGTGGGGCTTGGCATTTTGAAACAGTCCACCTATTGGTTACATAGAAGCGATCTTACTGGTATGTGATTGATCCGCTCTCAAGTACATGGTGCGAAACATTTCGCCTTGCATAGGCGCTGCCTGCCAACTACCTCATCTTAATAACCTGTCCAACACCACCTCTAGGGCTTGGGTTCGTGTTACGTTACGCTGACAGCCTGCATCCAAGTCTTTTATCATCATCGGCCGAGGTGTGCCTCTGCCCCTCTCAGCCGCACTCATGTCTTGGTGCCGATGCGCGGATCGCAGCAGGAAGGTGAGCGAAGTCTCCTCAAGCGTATGATCGCAGGTAGTATTTGATACATTCCCACAGGTATGGGGTCGTTTTGTAGTTAGCAGCAAAAGGCGAGAAGTGGCATCCATAGCATAGGCCAAAGATGGCCATAGAAACCATGGAACTGCTGGTGGGAGCAAGGCCAAATGTGAACGCCCGATCTGGGAAGTATGTCGACTTCCCAACTCATTTCTCGGCCGGGCTACTACGGAAGAGACCTATGCATGCTAACTCGTTTTCGAATGTGTAAGTGTGTTCGCAGAGTCGCCTTCCTTTTGACTTATGAACGTAGACCGATATGGCCAATCTATTAACTAAACTTCAGACAGTTCAGCTGATCTAGCAGTTGCGTCGGGCGAAGATATTGAAGCCCTCAAGTAGCTCGTGGCTCATGGTGCCGAAAGTCTAGGCCGCCGGGCTATATTGTGGCCACCCCGGCTATCGTACCTGATGGGTTCCGTGATGAGCTCATGTGTTTTCGTGTTCAAAAATTTACCACTCAGGCATTTGTCTGCTGATGAAGCGGTCAGCTTGAAAACAGCATACATGAACGAGTGTGAACTGAATGAGCAGAATCACACAGCTATGGGGAACAGCATCGCGCGAAGGATCCAGGGTCCAGACATGCCGCTACCGGTGTCGGTTCACAGCGTATTTGCAAGAACTGTAGCATTCCGAGCAATTCAAGGACGCGCGGCGCCCCTCGACTTTGACAGGCGCAACGAGTATCTGTACTGCCGGCGTGAGGGTCTCATTACGGCTTCGTCGAGATTGAACCCTGTGACCGGAACCATCCTCACCCGGAGTATTGTGCCATATGCCACGAGCGATGCGACTGCTAGTTCGGGGCCGTTTGCCTTGATGATACGACGACTACTACAACTATTCCTGCAGTGCCCCCGATGCCATATTCAGCATCACCTTCGGAGATACCGACGGGGGTAGCGCGCATCTTTCCCTACTTGGTGGAGGTAGAGAGGGAAGGGTGAATTTGACATAAATGGAAGAAAGGGGAAGGAAGTGGAGGAGAAAAATGAAGAAATGGAGGAAAGGCAAACAGAACGTTGTTATGAAATCGAGTATGAGGCTTTGAATATGCGTGCTGGTGTAGTGTTTACACCGCCGGTTATGAACTCGCAGCGAAATATTTCCTACGCTTTGATATCAAGCTAATATTTGGTTATCAAGGTGCGTTTAGTAATTATAAACTAACTTCCTAATAGTTAATTATGCCTTCGCTTCTTGAAACATCTTCTTGTCTAGGGTCCTAAGCAAAGCATCGTTAAGCTAATATCCCCGATAACTTGAACTTGAGCCCACATAAGTATGGAACCAGCACTATAGTCAATTGTTTCGGCCGGAACAGTCATCAAGCATTCAGCAAATTCACCATTCGGACTGCTTGGCGCAATGGTAGCGCGTAGACCTCCTACGATCAGCAGTAACATGTGGCGTTTGGAACCAGTCTAAGGTTGCGGGTTCGAGTCCCGTGGTGGTCGACTTTTGCCCTTGGGCCATGTCTTTCCTTTTTTGTCAGACCATCTCCTTGGGAAGACATCAATTGCTGTAAGAATGGATAGAGATAACTCACCTAGGCAAGCAGGTGGGTGACAAAAAAATTGACACACATCCCTTAACACTTACGTCTACAGAAATAACGATGATATCACCAAAATAAATCGGAATTAAATCAAAAAAGTATGCTGAAGCATTTATAAGTATTTTGAAAGTCAGGAATATGTTTTGCACATGATAAATCTAAGTTTGGTAGTAGTATACATGTTTAGACACAGACAGTTGTTCAGTCAGGAGTGTGTCAATTTTTTTGTCACCCGTCTGGCAAGCGAGGTTGTGTTTGTGCGGGTAGCAGCAATATTTGTTTGTTTGCTTAACACTTGTGGGGAGTATATATAAGCAGGTAATCTTTGTGTCAGTAAAGTAATATTATGGGGATGCAGAATTCTGTGAGAAGTAGTTTATTCTGTGGAGGTAACAAATATTTCTTTAATTTATCTTAGAGAGGCTATATAGATCGAGAAGTGCAATTCCATTTGAGATTATTCCAGGTGCTCAGATCCTGCTATGTAATAACTTGAAGATAGAGATGTCCAGAATGTCCCGGACTGGCGATGGTGGGGTCACGGTGGGGTCACGGTGGGGGAGAGGTGGAGACGAGCATGTGGGGGATTTCAAGTCCGGCTAGTCTATGGTACTTACCTACCTAGGTACAACATAGCTCATGCCTGCACTCGGTAGTGGGAGATTTGGTACTGTGAATGCGATCGCACTTGCTATCTATGTAGACTAGAGCATACCTACACGCGCAGAGCCTCCAAACTTCAAGCTTCCCGTCGCATCCCTTCAGTCTCCATTTCAGAATTAACCAACTTTCTTAACTTATGTTGAACAACCACTATCTCGAATATCACCATACCACACCACACCACACCTATCTAAGGGATTATCCTGCATCATCGACTTGCACTGCGCAATCCGTAGCTATCTCCACCTTCTATTGGTGCATAGAACTTGAAATATGTCTATTGCTCGATACAGATAGCTGATCGTGTTACCGTTACCTCACCATGGCTACCGATGGTGACCTGCCGAAAAGGCAGATGACGCCTATACCTGCTCCAGGGATCCCATCCTCTCTCCCTCAAAAACGAGCTCTTGAAGACGACCATGCTCCGCCCATATCGTCGCCGCTGAACCCAAATCCAAACCCAAATACCGATTCAAAAATTACGAAGACCCAGTCTCATGATGACTTGGCAGCCATGTCCCGCGATAAACCTGCGCGAACTAAGAAGGAATCCCTGAAGAAGCGCGAGTCTAAGGCTGGTACTGCTGCTGCTTCTGGTGGTGATAGCTCTCGAGCGACACCTGATCCCAAAACCAAGGAACTACCGCCAAGCGAGTTTTCGCCCTTGAGATATAAGCTAGCTCCGCCGAAACCGTCTGACTTCGATCCTGCAAGAGGGCCCGTCTTCACTTATCATCATGATATTCCCACCCCCGATAGCTCTATAGTCCAGTTCTTTGAAACCTCGGAACAGTGAGTTCTCATCGCTCACACCATTTTGGCGCCAGCTACTAACCTGCATTTCAGTGTCTATAATAAGAAGAGCTATCACTACCTCCACTGTATCGCCGATCCTGCATTTCCATCCTCTTTCTACTACCGTCAGACCGAGCCTGAACCTTACGGTCCTCATATCAGCTTCGAGGATGCCTCCACACACATGTACTTCGACCAGTCAGGACGCCACATAACGACAGACAAGGGGTTCCGGATGGCAAGAGCAAATGTTGCCGTGCGCGAGGGGACGTGGTACTGGGAATGCAAGATAACTAGAGGAATCATAAGGGGCGATGGCGGGTCAAAGAACGGGAGCAAGGATGCAAGTCAACCCGAGGCGCATGGCCATGTGCGCTTAGGTTTTGCTAGACGGGAAGCTTCATTAGATGCCCCCGTAGGGTTCGATGCTTATAGCTACGGATTTCGAGACGTAGCTGGTCAGAAAGTACACATGTCTCGACCGAAAGACTTCTTCCCCCCTGGCGAGGATATGAAAGAAGGTGATGTGATTGGGTTGGAGATCCGCCTGCCATCTGAGCATTTACATAGGAAGATTGTCCAAGGACAGTATAACCCCGCTGTTGACCTAAACGAGGAGGAGGACCCCATAATTGAGGCCGCCAACATCGTTCGGGACCGGATACCCATCCGGTTTAAGGCACATATTTACTTTGAGAAGATCGATTACCACACCACTAAAGAGCTGGAGGACTTGTCGAATCCATCGCCTGTAGGGGCATCTGGTCAGGCAGGTAGCAGGCCAGGAGACAAGCCGAATCCGAACCACGCAGTCCCGGCTCTACGGACGCTACCAAACTCCTACATCAAGGTGTATAAGAACGGAGTGCTGATGGGCACGCCATTCGCTGATCTCCTTGCTTTCCTCCCGCCAGCCTCAAAACCGCAAGTACAGGTTGGTGCGCGAGAAGGCAAGGACGATGGCATGCTTGGTTACTACCCCGCGATCAGCGTATTTCGCGGCGGTGCAGTCGAGACCAACTTCGGGCCTGACTTTTGGTACCCGCCTCCAGGATTTGCGGGCCCCCGGGGCGATGTCGAGATGGTGGACGCGGATGTGGATGAGGATACGGTGCGCGTAGGCACGCCGCAGCAGAAGAAGCTAGATAAACCCCGGGCTCTCGCCGAGCGGTACAACGAGCAGATTGTCGAGGACGTCGTGGCCGATATCGTAGATGAGGTCGACTTCTGGATGCAGGACGGCGCGCGCGTGCTTGACCGCACCGGTGGACGTGACGAGAAAGCTGAACCAGTTGGTATTGCACCTGCGAGTGAGGAAATTAAGGAGTTGGTACAGGATGATTATTAGGACGATGACCATATAAACTTGTTGACCACCCTTGTGCATTCCGATATGCTGCAAGACCGAGAGAGTTCCAGTCCGTCCGGATCCTGACGGAGAGCTGCTACTGATAAGTGAAGGGCCAGCGAATTGCGTGACCCCGGCGGCCTCTAAATGCGCACGCCGAGTAGGCAGTCCGGTCTGGTCTTAGCTGACTGAGGAAGAAGAACTTGGGCTTCCGCGTTGCTCACTGAGGTTCAGGGCAAAGAGACAGCCAGCTCAATATTTGGCGCCTCAAGTCATCTGTTCCTGTTCACCGGGAAGATGGTTGCCTGCCAGAGTCAATGTCATGAAGCCAGAAGTCGTATATAACATCGATCTACAATCAGTCTTATAAGAAAAAAAGGATGACAGTGTTGCCTTCATAGAGCATTCAGGAAAGCCGCAAGAAAACTTGCCCCAGGCGTCTTCTTTCCGATTACCAGTAGATACTCTAGTAGAAGCACCCCCGTCCTAGTCATCTTAATCGATGCCCTCATTATTCACCTGCTTCACCACATCATCCATGCTTTACAAGTGAGAACAAGTATAGGAAAGACCAGTTATTAATTCTCCAGATGACCACTATGTGTTCAACAATTCATTGCTATCGTTTGTCTCTTAGAACTATATATCCCGTTCCGTTCTATCTCATCCCGAAAACACTGCCAAAGGCAAAACATGCTGTTGTAGAACAATTAGATTAGAATCCTATTTGTTTTAACCACATAACCCGTATACGACACCAGAGCTAAGCCATCAAGGAAAAAAGAAAAACTCGGGTATCATATCAATATCGTGATCGCGTTTGCCATACCCTTTTCTCAAGAGAAACCAGTTGAGCCATTACTTCCTCTCTGTTGTAAGCGTAGCCCTAGCACCTCGTAACCGACAGTGAAAGTATCTCAACTTATTTTCGTATTCGTGCCATTATAGGATGAGCCTATTTTCCCGGAGTAGGCGCAGGAGCAGGAGCAAGAGCAGGAGCAGGTAATTGCGGATCATCTGGCAGCTCCTCGACCCGCGGTTGTCCATCAATCGTTTCATCCGTTCTATCATCCGCAACCGCAGCGTCAGATGCCTCGCGCTCCAGACGCACCTCGCGACCGCGCTTATGGCAGTACCAGAGCATAGACAGGAGCAAGAAGACGGCGAGGCTCCAGAGCACGTTTGTGCCGATGAATGCCGGGAACCGCGTCTTCAACGCATTCACAATCCCTTTCAACAAGCCAACGACGGCACCGGGCTTCGTGACGAGATCGTGCAGACTCCCGGGCGTTAAGTACTTCTTGGCGGCGCCCTTAAGACCGCCTTTCGAACCCTCCGCTGCGCTTAAGCCCTGCGCCTCGGCTGCGACGGCTAGTAGTTCGGGCGCTAAACTCGACGTCAGTTTCTCAGGCAGCTGAGCGACGAGCTTCTTGAGGCCCCTAGGGAGCTTCTCGTAGTTCCGGGCCAAGATGCCGTCGCGGTCGTCGAGGAGCTTGACGAGGTCCCCATAGGCTGTCGGGACGCCGTTCACGAGGTCTTTGAGGACTTGAGTAAACTTGCGGACCATCTCGGCTGACTCACTCGACAAGGAAAAGGCGCGGTTGTTTTGCGCTGAGAGGTCGAGGTCGTCGAGGACGCGTGCCATGTCTGTTTTCTCGTGCGTGGCTTCGGAAGTCGAGGGTACAGTTAGATGGCTTGCGTCTGGCTCGAGACCGGATGCTGAGGCAGGTACCGGTTTGCGGCGCAGAGAAATGTTTCGGGGGAGGTTCGTTACGAAGGAGAAGCGCTTCGGCTTGTCAGTTGAGGTTTTGTCCTTTTCCTTTTCCTTTTCTTTGGCTTTCTCCTTGCTTTTTCCCTTCTTGTCTTTCTTGTCCACTACTTCCTTGCTATATACGCTAGAGGTGTCACTGTCTATTTCGATAACGGGTGTCTTGACGCGGGGAGGCAGAGGAGGTGGTGTCTCATATTCATCGGCGTGAATGCTTGCGTCAGCCGAGGTGAGGCGCTCGAGGAATTTCTCGTCTTCATGGTCGAGTATGGGTGTCCCCTCGGGCGAAACATCGTCAGACTTTGAGATGATCTTGGGAGAG